ATGGCTCAAGTGGTAGAGTGTTAGCCTTGAGCAAAAGAAGCTCAGGGACAATGCCCAGGCCCTGAGTTCAGTCCCCAGAACTGGCAAAAAATACAGTAGGGTTGGAGGCATGGCTCCCATGGCTCAGTTGATAGCGTACCAGGCAATGAGCAAAAGCATCAGGTATCAAGTTTCTCAGTCTCAGACAAAAAAAAAAAAAGAAAACAGAACTTTTGTAATCTTAGGTGTCAACGCACTGTGTGTATTTTATATTATTATTATTATTGTCGGTTGTGGGCTTGAACTCTCTCAAGTGAGAGCTCTACCACTTGAGCCATAGTGCCACTTCCAGTTTTCTAGTGGTTTATTGGAGATAAGAGTCTCATGGAGGGCTAGGAAGGTAGTTCAGTGGTAGAGTGCTTGCCTTGCATGCATGAGGCCCTGGGTTCGATTCCTAAGCACCACATAAACAGAAAAAGCCAGCAGTGGTACTGTGGCTCCAGTGGTAGAGTGCTAGCCTTGAGCTGAAGAGCTGAGGGACAACGCCTAGGCCCAGAGTTCAAACCCCACGACTGACCAAAAATAAATAGTCTCACAGACTTTGCTGCCCGGGCTTTGAACTGTGATCCTCAGATCTCAGCCTCCTGAGTAGCTAGGATTACAGGCATGAGCCAAGCTTATGCATTATATTTTTTTCAGTGGAAAATACTGGTTTGAGAATGCTCCATGGGTTTCAGCCAATGGCCCGCCTTTAGTGACATACTGAAACAGATCTTTATGTTGGGGTAAGTGCAGTTCTAAGAATGCTGACTTGGAGCTGAAAGAACAAAGGAGCAAGTACCTACCCCAGCTTGGGGGTATAAGTGGGGGTTCAGCAAATATAGGAGTACTTCTCAGAGGTGTATTCTTAAATTGGTGTAGGAGAGACCATGATATACCTTTATTATCAAGTAATTGGACTTACTTATATAACAGGAAAAAAAAATTATTTTCTTGATGCTTCTGCTGCCAGGCCAGGTAGTCCATGGTATAGTTTCCTGAAAGTATCTCATTGGAGAAGTCAAGTCAGACATGGGCTTCTTTGGGTAGCCATCAGATGCAGGACAGATAAAGGGTAAATACTTCAATCCTTTGTGCTATGTAGTATCCACAAAGGCCTGAGAGCTGTACAATTATCTGCTCACATTTGTAATCCTAGCTACTCAGGAAGCTAAGGTCTGAAAGTTCCAGTTTGAAGCCAGCCCATGAAGAAAGTCCATGAGACTCTTATCTCCAATTAACCAGAAGTGGAACTATGGCTGAAGTGGTATAGCACTCGTCTTGTGCAAAAAAGATAAAGAACAGCACCCAGGCCCTGAGTTCAAGCCCCAGGACCAGCACCAGCACAAAACAAAAATGTAGCACAATACAGGGAATTTCAAGGTAATACTGAGTTATAGCTGATCCAAGATTTGGCACTATGTAGGAGGTGGAAAGGACAAAAAAAAAAAAAAAGGTTGAATTCTGAAAATAGACATGAGATCGTGACTCACCTTCAGCAATATGGAAGAAATAGTCTTCTGAGACAAAAAGCCAGACATGCTGGGTGTTGGTGGCTCACGCCTATAATCCTAGCTACTCAGGAGACTGAGATCTGAGGATTCCAGTTTGAAGCCTGTTTGTAAAGAAAAGTCCATGAGACTGTATCTCCAACTAACCACCAAAAAGCTAGAAGTGGAGCTGTGACTCAGACTGCTAACCTTGAGCAAAAAAGCTAAAGGACAGTACGCAGGCCCTGAGTTCAAGACCCAGGACCTGCACAGGCACAAAAGAGCCAAATGAGTTCATGTGATGATCTCTTGCTTCATCTATTTCCTGCAGATAACAAGATTTCATTCTTTATGGATGAATAATAGTTTATGTGTACATTCACATTTTCTTTAGTCATTCATCAGTTTTGGGTACTTGGCTCGTTCCGTAGCTTGGCTGTTGTGAATAGTGCTGTGATAAACAGTAGTTTTCAGGTATCTTGATTATATGTTGACATACATTCCTTCAGATATATTCCTAAGTATTATAGCAAGATCATATTGTAGTTCCTCTTTTTAGCTTACTAAGAAACCTTCAGACTGACTTCTATATTGGCTGCCCTAATTTACATCCTACCAATAGTAGACCACTTTCCAATATGAACAGTTTCCTACTGGTAAACAAATCCCTTATGCCTGAAGCAAATCCTCCCTGAGAAATTCTGGTGGTGTGCTAAGGATGTAGCTCAGTGGTAGACTTTCTTGCCTTGCATGTACAAAGTCCTGGGTTCTAGTTCCTCTTCCCCTAAAAAAAAACAATCAGTTGAAAAGCAGGGAGCCAGTAGCTCACACCTGTAATCCTAGTTACTCAGGAGGCTGAGATCTGAGGATCGAGATTCAAAGCCAGCCTGGGCAGGAAAGTCCATGAGATTCTTATCTTAAATAAACCACCAGAAAACTGGAAGTGGCTCTGTGGCTCAAGTGGTAGAGCCCTCGCCTTGAGCTGAAGAGTTCAGGGACAGCATCCAGGCTGAGTTCAAACCCCACAACCAACAACAACAACAAAATTCAGTTGAGAAATCTGTTACAGTCAATAATATTTTTACATAAAAAACAAGATACATGGGGCTGGGAAAGTGGCTCAGTGGTAGAGTGCTTGTCCTGCATGCATGAGGCCCTCAGTTCGATTCCTCAGCACCACATAAACAGAAAAAGCTGCAAGTGGGGCTGTGGCTCAAGTGGTAGAGTGCTAGTCTACAGCTGAAGAGCTGAGGGACAGTGCCTGGCCAGAGTTCAGGCCCACGACCGACAAAAAAAAAACCAAAAACAAGATACACCAAACCTGGTGGTGGTACATAGCTATAATCCCAGCATGCAGGAGGTAGAGGCAGGAAGAGCTTGAGTTCAAGTCCAACCTAGGCAACAGAGTGAGATTGCACTCAAAAAGAAGAGACAAAAAGTGGTTATAGACCTCAAAGGCCCTAGAATTTCTGGTTTTACCTTTTTTTCCAAGTTTCTTTTCCAATCCTGGAGAACTTTGACTTCTTTTAACAAGGTTCTACTTTCAAATCTCACTATCTACACGCCTCCTTTATCCTTCTCTAGCTCTTGCTTTTAGGAGCCATGCTTTAGTTCCAATGGTCTGCCTTTCTGTCAGTACAATAATTCATATGCACTGTGTGTGTGTGTGTGTGTGTGTGTGTGTGTGTGTGTGTGTGTAGTACTGGAGGTTGAACTCAGAGCCTATATCAGTGAGGCAACTGCACTACCAATTGAGCTACACCCAAATAACTCTGAACTCTCAAAGCAGTCTTTCTTCATAACTTAAACACCCACCTCCAGGATCCATTTGGAGAACACACTCATAGACTGCAATCTTCCTGAACTGGAACAGCCTTTCTAAACACTGATCACCAAAACAAGCACTTTTTAAATTTGTGTGTGTGTGTGTGTGTGTGTGTGTGTGTGTAATTGTCACAAGGTAAGTTCCCTGGAATAATTAAAATAATCTCTGCTAGGTGCTAATGGCTCATGTAATCTCAGAAGGTTGAGTTTTTTTTTTTTGGTCGGTCGTGGGGCTTGAACTCTGGGCCTGGGCGCTGTCCCTCAGCTCTTCAGCTCAAGGCGAGCGCTCTACCACTTGAGCTACAACGCCACTTCTGGTTTTCTGGTGGTTTATTGGAGATAGGAGTCTCACGGTCTCTCCTGCCCGGGCTGATGTTGAACTGCGATCCTCAGATCTCAGCCCCCTGAGTAGCTAGGATTACAGGCGTGAGACACCAGCGCCCGGCTGAGAGATTTTTTTTTTAACTCATCTGTATTTGCTACCTTATAAAGCACACTGTGAGTGCACTGCATCTCCACACACAAGCTCTGCTGCTGAGTGGCTTTAATGTATTTTAACACAACATCTAGGGAAGTTTATTGTATTTCTTTAAATGGTACACTTTTCTTTGGAAAACAAGCCCTGTGGAGTTCCATAAAGTTGTGTCAGCCTAAAACATATTTCTTTTTTTTTTTGGGGGGGGGGCCCAGTCGTGGGGCCTGAACTCTGGGCCTGGGCGCTGTCCCTCAGCTCTTCAGCTCAAGGCTAGTGCTCTACCACTTGAGCCACAACGCCACTTCTGGTGGTGCTGAGGAATCAAACCCAGGGTCTCAGGCATGCAAGGCAAGCGCTCTACCACTGAGCCACCTTCCCAGCCCCCTAACACATTTCTAGAGGTCTAGTACATGTAGCATTAACTACAAGGGATGGAAAACTACTGGGACCCTCTCTAATGAAACTCAAGCCATTTCAACAAAAACATTTCTTTAAACATCAAGGTAATGTGCCAGAACATGTCAATGACAAAAGATTTGGTCAGCTAAGGAATCTGGCTTAATAGCTAAACACTTGAGACCATAAACCAGTCACGTTACAGCTTACAACAAACATCTTCACCTGTCCAAAACCAAGGTGAAAGTAGAAAAAAGTATTACTAATCTGCTTTGAGAAGGCTGAGATTTGAAGATTGCAGTGTGAAACCAACTCAGGCAGGAAAGTCCATGACACTCTTTATCTCCAGTTAACCACAAAAAGCCAGAAGTGGAGCTATGGGTCAAGCAGTAGAGTGCCAGTCTTTTTTTGTTTGTTATTGTTGGTCATGGGACTTGCACTGAGAGCCTGACTGCTCTTCCTTAGCTTTTCAGCTCAAGGCTAGTGCTCTACCACTTGAACCACAGGCCACTTCTGATTTTCTTTTCTTTTTTTTTTTTTGCCTGTCATGGGACTTGAACTCTGGGCCTGGGCACTGTTCCTCAGCTCTTCAGCTCAAGGTTAGCACTCTACAACTTGAACCACAGGGCAATTTCTGGTTTTCTGGAAGTTTATTGGAGATAAGAGTTCAGGGAAGGGCCTTGAAGGTTCCTGTGGTCCCAGGGACCCTACGGCTTTTTTCCAGAGCCGGAATGGCCGCGGCCACCTAGCCGCCGGACGGCTCTGAACAAAGGAAGGCGAGGCTCGGGTGAGCGCCCCTCAGCGATGGCGCTTGAGCTGCGGCTCTGGAAATTGTCTTCGGCTTGCAGGAGCCTAGAGCGGGCCTGCGCCGCCCTCTCCAGCTCCACGCCGGCCGGCCGTGAGCCCTGCCGAGCAGCCTTCGGAAAACGAAGCCGTGGCCCCCGAGTTCACCAACAGGAATCCCCGGAACCTGGAGCTCTTGGCAGTGGCCAGGAAGGAACGAGGTTGGAGGACCGTGTGGCCCTCGCGGGAGTTCTGGCACAGGTTACGAGTTATAAGGACTCAGCATCACGTAGAAGGGATTGTTGAGCATCGAAATGGCCAGGTTGTGGTTTCAGCATCCACCCGGGAATGGGCTATTAAAAAGCACCTTTACAGCACCAAAAATGTGGTGGCTTGTGAGAGTATAGGACGAGTGCTGGCCCAGCGTTGCTTGGAGGCAGGCATCAACTTCATGGTCTACCAACCAACCCCATGGGAGGCAGCCTCAGATTCGATGAAACGCCTACAGAATGCCATGACAGAAGGTGGTGTGGTACTGAAGGAGCCTCGGAGAATCTATGAGTAAAAAGCATCATTATTTTGCATGTGTAAATGTAAGACCTATCAGCTACTGCAGCCATTCAAAGAAAGCATCTAGAAGAACAAGCAGCATGGAGTTGAGAGCAATAATGTAACAGAGGAAGATGATTTGTAGTTAGGGTTCCTTGTCCTCCTTAT